TTTAAATTTTTATTGATGGATATGTTTAAAAGGAATCTTTACATAAAACAATTATTATGTCATGTTTGTCTTCAATCTTACTGTGCTGTATGAGTGTGACACAGATGCTTACAGTATGCTCATGAGATGATACATATTACATTTGTGACAAAAATATCAATTATGGCTAACAGATACACACACGAGATATTAACATACAGATCGACAGATAGTTCACACGTTTGGCAAGAAAATAAATCCTCTCTCATGACCACTGATATGCGGTAGAGATATCCATGTAGTACCTAAGCTGACGTACACTGAAAGACTCATTGAGTGCGGTCGCTTAACCTGCCGTTTATCTGCGCAGATTCTTAGCTAACGTTTTCTCCCAGCGTCTTCTCTTTTTTTCTCAACCAACAAGGGATTTATTACTTAAGCACAAGGTTATAGTTAGATCACGACTTTGGAGTATCGTGGATTCTTGATGTATGGAAATATACACGTATGCATACATACATACATATGTATACACACACACACACGCACGCACACACACACACACACACGCACGCACACACACACACACACACACACACACACACACACACACATATATATGTGTGTGTGAGTATATATGTATTTATATGTATATATATGTACATATATGTATGTATATATGCATATATATAAAACAAATATGTGCATATACAGTATGCATATATGCCATCTAAACAGCTTATCTAACTCGTACATTAACAGGACAGACGGACTCTATCAGAGAGAATCTTCTCGCCTCGCTCCCGCAGCCAGAACCAGAGCCCGACGCCCCGGCGCTTTCACTAATTGAGTCTCATCTCAACGAGCGAAATCCTGGCAATGACGGAACGACGAAACAAGTATCTAGACCTAGAGACAAGTGCTCCCCCTCATCTCGCTTTGGGATACTGAAACCTTACACTTACGAGAGCCTTAAGTTCTACCTAAGAATTTACTCCACTCGTTCCCTCTTACTTCGATCGTAGTCCAACAAACCAGCTTCCCCCTTGTAGACAAAGTGGACATTCGCTCGAGGCTTGATGTCGAAGGAACCCGCGCTATTAGAGGATTCCCTCCACATCTTTTTCCACATATATCCACTTTTCTATCTTTCTGGCGTGTCCGGCAACGATCATGGCGCTCACCTGCAATGAGGCAACTTGGTCAGTGCGAGTGAGCGCCATCCCCTACAGTTTAGGTGGTATTGCGGTGAAACTGTGTCAGCGTGAGTATCAACATGTGTCTGTTTTGTTTAGTCGTGACTCTTACATACCGTTTCTGTCTGTATATGTATGTGGTTAGTTGGCATCTGATTGTTGTTAAAATACATGAACGAGTGTGTACGTGTTTGAGCGACCGACAGCGTGTGTGTATTCGTGCAAATGTGTGGCAGTGTTCCAATACCAACGCAAATCTGGCGAACGAACACTATATTATCATATCACACTTTGCGTTATGTATTTTCTATACACTTACTACATATTTAACTTTCATTTTGTAATCAAACTATTATTGATATATCGAGGTTATCACAGAAAAATAAAACATTTTAGGAGACGGAGGAAAGGGAACAGCAGTTTGATCAATAAACTTGTCTATTAAATCTCGTGAGCTGTGAACCCAAATTGCGCTCTAACACACCGCCACCTGCCATGGCCAAAAATCGTAATGGTTTAACTATTTCTATCGTGACGAATCTTCAAGATAAATTATTGTGACCTGGCAATCTAGCGGTCAATAGTAGGTCCGCTTTCATGAAACGCATAGGAAACAGAGGTCAGTATTATTTGAATGGCCAGTTATACAGTTAGTAGACTTATGTACTACCTAGCATTATGTAAACTGAATAATTTGTGTATTCGGCATTCAGATACTACAGACATCTCTTCCTGTTCGTTTCAAGAATTTGGAATGACTAGATACACAGGTAGTGTCGTATTATTGAATACATTAGGCAGTTTGTTCTGATGCTTGTATATTAGGCCATTTAAACGATACTGACTGCTCACCTGTGCGCTGTTGACATTTAATTGTTAGGAGTACAATAATTTGCCATTCAGACCAGCGTGCTCTGACCACAGCTGAGAATTAAAAAAAAAAAAAAAAAAAAAAAAAAAAAATAGTAGACAGGAATATCTCTATAAGAAAGAAAGAAAGAAAAGTGTAGAATAAATGGAACATGAAAATACTATACACACTTATTTAAAGTTATTTTCATTCTTAAAATATTAAATAGATATTTCTCTCTTCTTATTGATCTGCATTTACACACTATTTCGTCATCAGTTACTTAGACAATATCGCACTTATAATAAAAAAAACAAAACATTTTACCATTCAGCGTTATCTATTCACTCAAAAATTCGTATCAGGAATATACAGCAAAGCCTATTCAAAGAATAAATAAATGGAAATACAAAAGTACAGTTCCTTTCACACTCTTAGAACGAACGCCGTAAAATCTAAGATATGAGAAGGTAGGACACACATGAGAATGAAGATAAGGCGAAAGACAATATTTCTGTATCTATTGAAACCACAGACCAACTTGAGCGTGAGCATTGTCTACTCTAGACACGTTTTAACTTTAGAGTGTGTGCGTGTTCAAGGGTGTGTTTGTGTGTGTGTTTCTTTGAGTGTGATTGTGTGTAAGTGTTCGTTTATTTGAATGTTCATGTGTGTGTGTTTGTTTGCTTGTTTTGCTTATTTGTTCATGAGTGTGTCTGTTTGTTTATGTATATATGTGTCTGCATCACTTACAGATATAGTAATTTCAACTCATCATTATCCTCTTCTTAAGCTTAAATTCACATGCACTTCAACAATCACTTCGGACAGACAGAAGGCCAGACGAACACCCTCCCTTTAGTCGGAGAGCCGAGACTTTCACATCATTAAAGAGGCTAATTCCACATCACGTAAATTTTTTCGCGTCATTATCAAATACATGCCATTCATTCTCCTCACCGAAAATGACACTTACAATACTGTTAAGTTCATGAATAGGCGAAAAATCTCATCAAATCCTCCCCTCAGACACTCCACCCGTACCTTCTATCCTAAAAATAAAAAATCTTCACATCGCGGTGGCTTTCTCTTAGCAAAAGAGGTCATATTCCTTCCTCGTCCGGAACATTCATACAGAGAGATTAGTGTACAATACAAGCATAAGATTTCCGTACAAAGTAGCCTGAGATCTCCAGCAAGGTCACTTTGACACTGGGTCTTCGGGTTCTAATTTCTGGGTTGACAAATCACTCTACTTTGTCTGGAGTTCTTTTCTCTAGGAGTGACTAGTGTTAACATCGATGACTACACGACATAGACCAATCAATGCAGTTGTTGATTCTTAATATAAGTTATTTATAAACTATGTTTGTGAACTCTCAATAAATTTCGAAGAAAATAACAGGTTTATGATTCATTACCATGCGACAAGTCTTGCACATTATCATCCATATGTACAGTCTAATTTGTAAGATTACATCAATTTATTTGCTAAAAATAGTAATCTAATAGCTAAATACTTATATAACAATATTATATTAAATTTTATTTCTTTTAAAATAGATTCATACATTTTGTGATACAAAGGCTTAAAAATAAGTACAAAAAAATATACTAAAGCTTTATCTCCAGTAGCAAACTACATGACACACTTAAATGCAAACACTGACGTTGTGAAAAGTTTAATTTTCTACACTTCATCTTAGGCCGTTGTCATGTCGGCACTCAGTGACACCCCCTTTCGGCTGAGGCGTTACCAGCTGAGGCTCTCGCTTTGAGATCAGGAAGAAGAAAGGCGCTCGTACTGGTTTTCCTCTGAGGTGTTTTCCTCTTTGGCTTCATCGGTGATGTTGGGCAGGCTCTTGCTCCTCAGGCGGCACTCCTTCACATACAGCGCGCAGGGAAGGGAGAGGTCAAAGCTCGAGACGACGGAGCGGGTCAAGCCTTCTTTGGTCACACAGGAGAGGCGCCGGTTGAGGATAAGCAACGAGGATAAGTCCGAATCCTTAGCCGACTCGAACGTGACGGAGAAGGACGTCGAGAGCGGGAGGAAGCCCTCGAGCTCTTCCGAGGGGAGAAAAATATTGGGGAAGGTTCTGGAAGGATGCAGCTCCCTCGACTGTGTCAGTGAGCCGCGATGGCCTTGGTCGAGGGCAGACGAAGGCAGAGACACGTTTGAGACGCCTGATTTCATAAGAGGCTTGGCGGCTTCGTGCCGTTTCTTTTTATGTCGGAGGCTTTTGGTTTTCGAGTATTCCTTGGCCGAGGGCGACATGATAAGGCCAATACGTTGCTCTTTGCCCATATTACAGTCTACTTCACTCGGTGAGAATCTAAAACCATTGGGAGGTTTACGGGGATGCTTGGTTAAGTTCATCTTGTCCTTCATCGCACTCTCGATAAAGTGGTTGGTGTCGAAGGGAAGCTTCCCGTCCGGGAACTCGACGAGGACCGTGGTCTGCAGGCGCCTTCTGTCACAGTTTCCGGTGCTTCTACTCGCGCCCGCGTCGGGCTCGTGGGACAGGTTGAAGGAACGAGGCATCTTGCGGAAGCTGTTGGAGGAGAAGCTGCGTTTCGGGTACGTCTCGCCGGCTAGGCTCGTGCTGCCCGGCGAGAGGGTGGAGTGCAGGCTGAGGGAGGCGTCGGTGGACTGTATGGCCGGATGACTGGAGAAGGAAGTCTGTCGGTGGATGAGAGGGCCCAAGGAACTGCTGTACGAGTGGTCCGTCAAGTCCCACAGCTGAAAGAGGCAAAAGGAAAAAAAGAGTTATCACCGTGCTGAGGTACGACAATTCTTCAGTGAGTATAGTGACACAAACGTAGCTCTTTGTTGGATATCGAGATTCAGCACACGCACACACACACACGTGCGCACCCTCTTTCACATGTATCCAACTATACGTATAATAATTCCAGACAAACACGGATAATACTATGCAAGTTCAAGAAACGATGTGATGCTAAAATGATTTACACTACACGCCCTGGTTACCAATTAAAGCTAGTATTAGCAGCTCGCCGGTTCCAGATGACACTGATAATTACAACTCAGCAGGTGGCATTTACCTAACAGTAGCATGACAGGGAAAAATCAATACTTTAGCGCAACTATAAAAAAAGCGCTTCACAGGGGGTAAGCAATCTCAAAAAATGTCGGAGAATACAATGAGTTTCCAAATTTAAGAAGAAAGAGTACGCTTGGTTTGCTTAAAAGCAACTTTAAAAAGACAAGAGAGAAATTAATCATAATTTCATAATGTTAATATTAATATAAAACGGCTGCTATTAGTGCTAGGATTGTGGTTATTATTATTATTGTTTTTACGTTTTGATTGTTATAAGAATAACTATTTCTTGAATGACAGTAGTAGTAATAGCGATGGTAATGATTAAAAAACAACAACAACAACATTATAATGACAATAAGTTTGATCTCCCTCCCTCTCCTTCCTTCCCTCTCTCTCTCTCTCTCTCTTTCCTTCTCTCTCTCTCTCTCTCTTTCTCTCTCTCTCTCTCTCTCTCCTCCCCCCCCCCTCTCTCTCTCTCTCTCTCTCTCTCTCTCTCTCTCTCTCTCTCTCTCTCTCTCTCTCTCTCTCTTCGCCTCACTCTCTCTCTCTCTCTCTCACTCTCTCTCTCCTCTCAATCTCTCTCTCTCTCTCTCTCTCTCTCTCTCTCTCTCTCTCTCTCTCTCTCTCTCTCTCTCTCTCTCTCTCTCTCTCTCTCTCTCTCTCGTTCCCTTTCTTCCTACTTACCTGAGGATCCGGCATTTCCCTCTCTTCTTTTATCTCACTGAACGTGCTGCCAGTCAGACCCACAGTTATGCCGTTCCTTGTAACACCAAAGAAATCCGGTTGACGTCTGAGGAGCCTCTTGTTTAATTCATTCTAAGGATGGAAAAAAAGGTACGAATTAGATTCCTTCCTGCTCGAAGACTCCTCAAGAAAATGTTTCATTACATGTTTATTGGGTCAGAGGAATGTATAGATGGAACACGTTCAGTTTTGAAGATAGTACATGCAAATTCTCCACGTTTTGTTGGGGGGTTTTCTGGCCACGGTCTCAGCGAGGTGTTCGCTTTTAGTCTATTACATTTCTTTAAAAAAAAAATTGTTTAGTATGTTAGAAAAAAGCATGAGGACGCTTTATTAGGTCGCAAAAAACACGTTCAAAGCGGTGCATTGGCATGGAGGAAAGGGAGTGGAAGTAAGGGCGTGAGGATGAAAGTAGAATGGCGGAGGACAAGAGGAAAAGTAGTAGAAGAAGAAGAAGAAGAAGAAAAAGAGGAAGAGGAAGAGGAAGAAGAAAAAGAAAACGAAAACGAAAACGAAAACGAAAACGAAGAAGAAGAAGAAGAAGAAGAAGAAGAAGAAGAAGAAGAAGAAGAAGAAGAAGAAGAAGAAGAAGAAGAAGAAGAAGAAGAAGAAAAAGAAAAAGAAAAAGAAGAAAAAAGAAAAAGAAGAAAAATAAGAAAGAAGAAAAAAAAAAAAAAAAGAAAGAAGAAAAAAAAGAACATGTTATTTGTTCAAAGAAAAAAAAAGAGAGGTTAATTGTGTAAGCCAAATCCACGTTCAGAATTGCAAAGTGATTACCGCCACTGTGTTGAAGTTGCAATTAAGCTGCAAGAGTTGCTCTGTTTGACCCTGGTTCGAGTCCAGGCTTCTCCAGAGCGGGTTCCTGGGACACCTCTGGCCCGGACGCGATAATCAGACACAGACACGAGGGGAGGGAAGCCAAGAGAGGTTATTAATGTGAAAATAGCAATTCAGAGAGTCAGGGAAAGTGGAGGTAGAGAGATGGGGGAAGAGATGTTGTTGTTGCTGTTGTTGTTGCTGTTGTTGTTGTTGTTGCTGTTGTTGTTGTTGTTGCTGTTGTTGTTGTTGTTGTTGTTGTTGTTGTTGTTGTGGTGGTAGTGGTGGTGGTGTGTGTGTGTGTGTGTGTGTGTGTGTGTGTGTGTGTGTGTGTGTGTGTGTGTGTGTGTGTGTGTGTGTGTGTACGAGCGTACGTGCGTGCGTGTGTGTTTGTGTTGTTTGTATGTGTGCGTCCGCTTATGTGTGGGTGTGTCTGTGTGTACAAGATCACAGATATCAGAGGAAAAAATAAAGAGAGAGGGAGAGAGAGAGAGAGAGAGAGAGAGAGAGAGAGAGAGAGAGAGAGAGAGAGAGAGAGTGAGAGAGTGAGAGAGAGAGAGAGAGAGAGAGAGAGAGGGGGGGGGATAGAGATAGATAGATAGATAGATAGAGAGAGAGAGAGAGAGAGAGAGAGAGAGAGAGAGAGAGAGAGAGAGAGAGAGAGAGAGAGAGAGAGAGAGATAGATAGAAAGAGAGAGAGAGAGAGAGAGAGGGGGATAGAGATAGATAGATAGATAGATAGAAAGAGAGAGAGAGAGAGAGAGAGGGGGATAGAGATAGATAGATAGATAGAGAGAGAGAGAGAGAGAGAGAGAGAGAGAGAGAGAGAGAGAGAGAGAGAGAGAGAGAGATAGATAGATAGATAGAGAGAGAGAGAGAGAGAGAGAGAGTGAGAGAGTGAGAGAGAGAGAGAGAGAGAGAGAGAGAGAGGGGGGGGGGGATAGAGATAGATAGATAGATAGATAGAGAGAGAGAGAGAGAGAGAGAGAGAGAGAGAGAGAGAGAGAGAGAGAGAGAGAGAGAGAGATAGAAAGAGAGAGAGAGAGAGAGAGAGGGGGATAGAGATAGATAGATAGATAGATAGAAAGAGAGAGAGAGAGAGAGAGAGGGGGATAGAGATAGATAGATAGATAGATAGAGAGAGAGAGAGAGAGAGAGAGAGAGAGAGAGAGAGAGAGAGAGAGAGAGATAGATAGATAGATAGAGAGAGAGAGAGAGAGAGCGGCACGCACATAGGTGTACAGATAGACAAGCAAATCAATATACAGACACATAGATTAGATTAACCGAGGGGGAAAGTGATGGTAAACAAACAAATAGACAAACGATTTTTGTTAAAGGAAATTTGAAGATTCTCATATAATTATATTTTCATAACTATTGAAATTAAAGAAATAAAACATATTTACACTTTTTTTAATTAAATAAAGACGATATATGTAAACTATAGGTGAACAACTCAATGGAATAATATGTATAAACATTTAAGAACATTTACGAGAGAAAACAAACACAAATCAAAGATAGTGAATTATCGATAATATTGTAAAACATTTCTTTTTGATAAGACTCACCGCGAAAAAAAAGAAGTAAAAAACAAAACAAAACAAAACAAAAAAATAAACAAACAAATAACGAAAGCAAAATCAAAAGAAGACATACAAGCACAAACACAAAACAAAACAAAAAAACAAACAGAAGGCGACATAAACAAGGTAAACTAGAAGGATATATAAAGCTCACCTTGAAGCGTGGATGAGACAGAGCGTAAACATATGGATCTATACACGCAGCCGCCTTGCATATCATCGCTGGCACCATAGAGCCGAAGGGCGTGATGAGGCGCCGTTGGTTGAAGATGCCCAGGAGTGCCACCACCGCGTAGGGCGTCCATGCCAGCACCCACAGCGCGATGATGCCTGAGGCCACTTTCGCGAGCTTGAGCTGTCGGGAGAAAGGAGAGGCAAGTGGTTTGGTAAAGGGCCTTCGGGATACTCGTGGTGTGTGTGTGTGTGTGTGTGTGTGTGTGTGTGTGTGTGTGTGTGTGTGTGTGTGTGTGTGTGTGTGTGTGTGTGTGTGTGTGTGTGTATGTGTGTGTGTGTGCGAGTTGGGATGGTATGGATTTTGAAAGGTTCTATGCTGCTCTAGATTCACAAACAAATGCGGGTAAAACATTGTTTCTCTCTCTCCATCTCAATCTCTTTCTCTCTCTAGCTTGCTCGCTCTTCTCCCCCGCTCTCGCTCTTGTCCGCCGCTCTCTCTCTCTCTCACCCTCTTGCTCTCCCAGCCCCCCCCCCTCTCTCTTTCCCACACACACACATATCCCCCCTCTCTCTGTTTCTTGCTTTCACACACACACATCCCCTAATACACCGAGTTAATAGAATTATGCTTGTACCCGCGAAACTGAATTGGTAACGCATTTAATCAAGCGTGTAACATAATCATCGGCATTGTATTTTGGGGCCAAGTCTTACAAGAGCTGAGTATTTGCCTTTAAATAGGTAAGCCTTGGGGTTCCTCCGCCATTAATCATTCCGAACAGACATGTCTTGTCACTCCATTCGGAAGCGCATCTATGATCATCACGGAGAAAATAAAAAAAATAAAAACACATCTCGATAAATATTAAGTGAAGTGGAACGATGAGCACGTAATAAAAGAAGGGGGACACTTGCAACGACGACTTTCCACCGAGAGGAAACTTTCGCTGCAAATGGCAAAGACGAAATCAGGAAGAGAGATAGAGAGCGTCCAGTATGAATGAGAGCGGGTGGTGTTCACCGAGTTATTGATTTGAAATCTCGAGGACAATACCTTCTTCAGGAACGAGACAATGAATGGGAGGAAGACATTGTCGAAACATCGAGTCAGTGCACCCATGATTTATGAGGTTCATTCATACTCATTCATAAGGCACTCCCTTGTAAAAAAAAAAATAATAAATAAAAGAGAGAGAAAAAGAAAAATACCGGAAACAGAAAATAATCAACGTGGGATGTGATCCGAAAATATGTTTAGTTTGGATTACTTTATATTTCGTATATCTACCCGTCCACGAGACATCATTTAGATTAACTTCCTTTTATTACAGTGTCTCAGCGAATAACTTTCTATGTAGCGACATATTTTCTTCAAAACTGGTTTAAGTCACAAATATTTTCCTTCATTTTACTTCTATTGTGTTTCACGTCTGATATATAAGGGCATCACAAACAGAGGGACAATAGACCACTCCTTCTGTAAAAAGCGTCCTCTTTCATATTCTGTGAAAACATACTCTTGTATATCCGAATAATGCATATGTCCGCATAAGTGCCACAATTGCTCACCGAAATGTAAGGGAA